ATCCTTTCCCATATATGTTCATGTTTTGCCATAGTGAAATCACCTTTCTCCTTTGCTAAACTCTCTCGATACTCATGCTAGTACCTTCAACCCTAGCCATGGGTCCTAAGATTAACTAGCCACTTTGACAATGCCCTGTCTGTAGGCTTACGGAAAACCATTAACAACCTGAATGTTGTTGCACAATCGGGTGGCCCATGCTTGAACACAGCTATTAGATTGCTTTCGGCTTGGTTCGCGTGCAAAGAAAAGTTCGGCGCCTGCGACGACAGCTGCTCTTGCCGACGGATGCTTAGGGCGCGCATGGATCCCTCCAGGCGTACTAAAAAGAATCAAACAACCTAAATGTTGTTGCGCATTCGGGTGGCCCATGCTTGAATACAAGATCAGAGCGCTTTCGGCTTGGTTCGTGCGCAAAGAAAAGTTTGGCGCATGCGACGACGGTTGTTCTTGCCGACGGATGTTCAGGACGCGCATGGACCCCTACAGGCGTACTGAAAAGCATTGAACAACCTGAATGTTGTTGTGCATTCGTGTGACCCATGCTCGAATACACCTATTAGAGCGCTGTCCGCTTGGTTCGCGCGCAAAGAAAAGTTCGGTGTTTGCGACGACGGCTATTCTTGCCGACGGATGCTAAGGATGCGCATGACCTCTAAAGGCGTACGGAAAAACATCGAACAACCGGAAGTTTGTTGCACATTCGGGTGGCCCATGCTCGAATACACCTTTCAGAGCACTTTCGGCTTGGTTCGCGCGCAAAGAAAAGTTCGGCGCCTGCGACGACTGTTGTTCTCGCCGACGGATGCTGAAGGACGCGCATGGACCCCTACACGTACGGAAAAGCATCGAACAACCTGAATGTTGTTGCGTATCCGGGTGGCCCATGCTTAAATACACCTACCAAAGTGCTTTCAACAGCAAATAGCGTAATCATTGCATGCTTTCTTGTCGTGCTGATTTTTATGAATCTTTTGGATTGAAATTGTTAATTGGAAATAACGTAATTATTGCATACTTTTATGAATCTTTTGGATTGGAGTGCGGCTTTTGGGTTGGAATCGGAAATCACGCCGCATTAGGCTGTTCTTCTAGTCCAGAGCCGCGTAACCTGAGACGAATCGCACGGCGCATTCGGCTGTTCTAATCCAGAGCCGTGCCGCGTTACCTAAGCACGAAACACATGCTAGATTTGAAGACGCCACGATTTAGTACCTGACGAGGACCTCGGGTGGCTCGATCCGACAACCGAAGCTGGTTGTTTCCAACCTCTCCGCGCTGATCGCGTGCCGGGGGGGACACTGCTCGTGCGAATCTGTTCGTGCGACTCTTTTCGTGCGATATAAGCTCGCGTGCGACCTGTTCGCATGGCGATCCCAGTGCCTTACATCGCGACGGTGGCGGGATTCATATTCTTCGTCCACGCCGCGTTCTTCACGGCGCACTGTACGTTTTTCCGGTGACCCTATTCGTTGATCATCTGCCGTCATTCGAGACGGTGGCGGGATTCATATTCTTCGTCCACGCCGCGTTCTTCACAGCGCACTGTACGCCTTTCTACTAACCCTAAGCTTGAGCAGTGCACGTGCAGGCGTTAGCTACCTGACCACGCCTCGTTCTCACAGTGCAGTGTACGCTTCTCTACTAACCCTAGTCCTTGATCATCCTTCTCCGTCACCCATGACAGTAGCGAGATTCACTTATGTGTCCAATTCTCGCTGACTTTTGAGTCGACTCAAAAGACTCACTTATGTGTCCATTCTCGCGTTGCACTGTGCGCTGCCTTCCTGACTGACCCTTTCCTCGGACCGCGCTGAAAGTGACTTGTCATTCTACAGGATTCATCTAGCGGCGAACTTCTGACCTCGTTCGGCTGATTAGTTACCTGATTCTCATTAGACTGGTTCTCATCTGACGAATTATTATCTCATTAAGTTAAATCCGAGTTATTCTCACAGGACCGAATCATTTGACTTACTGTTACTTTTACTGATCATGACTGATGATTGGTTGATTTAGTTTTGACGGCTCCTCATTTGAACGGTTGTGATTTCAATGCAGACAGGGAACAACTGAAGGACCTTGATGAGCCATTCATCACGCCACCCACACAGGTCAGTGTGCCGCCCACGCATGCCAGTTTACGCCCCCTACTCAAGTCAGTTTATGCCTACTCTGCTCGGTCTACCATCTCTTCTTGTCCTCTTGCCTGGCATTCAGGTCAGTGGATGTTCCAGTCTAGCTGCACCCTTTTCTCCTGTAGTATTTCCAAGATTTTCCCTATCCAAGATTGTCGGTGTTGGCCTGGATTCTACCCGTCCCCCTCCTACCCCGCTCCTACCTCCCTCTTCCCCTGCTCCTCCCCCCCCCCCCCCCACCCCCCTTTCCCCACCACCCTGCCCCCCCCCCCCCCCTCCCCTTCATATTCTTTTTGACATCTTTTATCTGTTGCCTTCCCTTCTCCACTGCACCCGCCCCTCCTCATCCCTCCTCTCCAAGCTTCTCATTGCTCGCCTCGTCAAACTGCTGCGTTCAGTTTCTCTGTTTCCTTCCATAGTTGTGCTCCTTCCCATCATGTCCTATTCATTCTCCCTTCTGGCTACTCCTCCCACCCCCTCTCCTTCCTTCCCTCCCAACTCTCCCTCCTCCCCTCCCCCCCTCCCCCTCCGCCTCTCCGTTTCAGATCTTTCTGGAACTTGCTGCGGGTATGTTCTTCACCATCTGGGCGGCTACTTTTGAGGCGCCTCAAAACTGCCCCCCCCCCCCCCCCCCCCCCCCCCCCTTTTCCCCTCCTTCCCCCTCCTCCCCCATCTCCTTTTCAGGTCTTACTGGAACTCGCTGCGGGTATGTTCTTCACCATCTGGTCAGCTGTGAATCTTCCAGGAGAATCCTTCCTGCCCATTCAGCTTTCTGAGGAGGTGAACAGGTACCCCCTTCACCCCACCTTTTGTGTCACGAGATAACTCTGACTCCCAATCTCTTGTTGGTGTCACAAGAACGGGAGACTTCCTGCCCATTCAGCTTTCTGAGGATGTGAACAGGTACCTCCTTCACCCAACCCACCTTCTGTGTCACGAGATTGGCTGAGCGGCTGATTGGCTGGGTGTCACGGGAATAAACTGTTTGCACGAGGACATGTCTGTGTCACGAGAGAAGTTTTCCGTGAGACACGTCTGTATCATTTAATCAACTTTCATGAGAACAGGTGGTGTCACGGGAACAGTTTGCATGAAAATATGTCGGTGTCGCAGCACAATTGTATGAGAACAGGTCAGTGTTGCGATAACAATAACAGGTATACCAGCATGTCAACAGCTATCATCTTCGCTGCCTGCTGACCGCTTCCCTCATAAGCAGGGTAGTTTATTCGGTGTTAGTTGTGGTTTATCTGCTCTCTGCTTATGGTGTGCATGGTATGTTTCTTATGCTCCCTTCATCTGTCAGGGTGGTGCAAACACCAGTGCCAGTGGACTTTATGTGCTTCCATCACAGAGCAGCAATGTCTCCCCCCCCTCTTCGCTTCGTCTTCAAGGCCCGACGATGAAATGTCTTGTTTTGGTTTGTTGGGATTTTTCTCCTCACTCGTTAAAATTGAAGGAAACATGAGCAGCTTGCATATGGTTCACAGCATGTGTATAACGTTCCACCTTCACCACTTGTTACCATATAGCATCGGCAATATGAAATATGGTACAGGTTGAGGCAACCCGCTAGAAAAAATGCAAGGCTACTAAGCAACTACATTGATGTCAGGCCAACGGTTCACAAACTAGTTATTATCGATGCGTGTTTACTGCTTGTTGCTCGTGAAGGATGTACTGGTAGGGTACGCTTGTTTGGCATCAAACCCATCCATGCAAGAAGCGTGTGAGCCCCAGCGGTTCCAACTCACGCGGGCTGCTGCTCCCCTCGGCCACACGACACACCTAACCTTGTCCGCGCTGGCCGGTGTAGTGAATCATGTGTAGATTTCTTGGTTGCTGCCGTACTCTTTATGCGGAAACTCGTTACGCGTGCATGCATCTCGTCTTGTCTCTTGGTGGCTGCTGGAAAGGAAGGCGCTGACTGGTCACTGCACGTGGCATCACTCACGGCCCGTCTGGCAGTTCAAAGATGGATAACACTGTAGATCTCATGCACAAGTCTGTTCTTCGGGACAGCAGGAATGACTGGGCAGAACTGTAAAATTTCTCCTTTGTAAATGGCCAACACTCGTTGGAACCAAAGTATACTAAATCGCACTCGAGGTTGATGAAAAATTCCTCAAGTGCAACAATCCCCACATGGAGAAATTCTCAATTCACAAGCCGCAATCTTGTATCAAGATTCGATTGATGAGGCGATTCTCCGCGTTCATCAATCGCACTGTGCACGAGGGCTCAAATCCCACCGAAATCATTAAGTGTCAATAAATCCACCGCTTCCCGCTCCAAGTGAAGACAATGGTGACACCGTGTTGGAAAACGTTACTGTTGGTCGGTTGCTTGGGAGTGTGATTCGCCCAACACCAGCCCTAGTCGTTTTTGAAACCTGCACTTGAATTGACAAGATTCACAGCTGCTTCAACCACAAACCCAATCCGTTGTCCCAGAACATTTCGGAAATTCCAAAGTTTCTGGCAGCATTTTCTTGTGGTTCACTGCTCCTCCTTCCCCGTGTACAGTGCTTGCCCGCGCTCCGCCTTGCTCGTCGAAACGAACATACAGCCCACGCGTCCATTCCAAACCTATCCCCCCCGCACCACATAGGGAATCGCGGATTTGCTGAAAGTCTGCCTGGTGCAGCAGCGCCCAATGGCGCGCACGTCAGGAAAAAATCGACTGCCACAAGTTGGCGCCAGAACCTGGAACGGAAAACGGAACCAGGGCAAAGCGCGGAAATCCCAAGCCTCACCCACTTCCCCTCCGGTTTCGGTTTTCGGCATGTGATTCCGTGCCCTCACCGCGGGAATCACAAGGCGTCCATTCCGTGGCGGTTGTATTCCTCCTCCCCTAACCACTATGTTCCCCCCAACCGATTTCCATGGTCGGGGGAGGGGACTCGGGGGCATGGCGGTTCGGTTCCAACGGGTTTGGCTGGGATGCTGCTTGCTGCTGCTCACATGTGGCGGCGAGGCGACCAAAAATCCGTCCCCCTCCCCACAACCTCCCCGCCCCCCTCTCTTCCCCCATTTCCCCCTTCCCCCTCCACCCCCCCTCCTCCCCTCTCCTCCCCTGCCATCCCCTCCCCTCGTCAGAGTTTCCCCCCACCAAGAGGTCCCCCCAAGGTCTTCCCCTCGCCGTCCTTCCCTGGCGGTTCTCTTCCTTGACCATATCTTTCCTCTTCCTTGTCACCGTCGTTTTGCTGGACAACACAACACGAGCACCAGCAACTTGTTCTTGGCTCACGGCCTTGCTCTGTTCGCTTCACATAGATGCATCACGTTTACAACTCAAGGAAGGAGCTGCTCTTTGCCAGCAGAGAGTTCGAGTTTCCGAATATAGCACTCCGTCCTTCATTTCTTTCGTTACAACGGCGGTTGGTCTGTTCCTCCCATTCATATTCTAGTAAATCTTGAAGGAAAGAAATAGAGAGGAAAGATTCTATCACCTTGCCGATCGTGCTCATCATCTCGCGAATCAAGATGAACGTGGGAGTTGCCGCTCGACCCTCCCCGCCAGACACCATGCATCCTTCCGACCATTTCGCGCCAAGCCATCTTTTCGCAGATCCCTCCGTCTGTCTCGCGACCCGTCTCTCTCCCCAAGACTGCTTCTCCGCATCGCTCAGCTCGTCCCCGTCGTCGCGCTGCGGATCCGAAGCGCTCAAAGCCGCCGTGTGCCGGCCAGCAGGCGGCCTCCAGGAGCGGTCGTCCTTGCTCGGCGCGCAGGGGTTAGAACAGGAATGGGCGGCTATTTTTGGCGAAGATGATGGAGAGGACGGGATAAACGGGGGTTACGGGGATGACGTGGATTACGGTTATCCCGGGAATGACGGGAATAATGGGGGTGAGCGTGAGGAGGAAGACGACGAGGAGGACGTGCCTTGGGAGGTGATTAGTTCGCGGCTCCGGCAGCAGCTGAAGCAGGTGCTACACCAGCAGAAGCAGCAGCACGTGCAGTTGTCGCACGCGCGGACACACGACGGTTACCACAGCCAGCGACATCCGCAAGCGCTCGGGCACGCACCGCCGCAGCTCAACGCCTCTACGCAGAATGATCCGATTAGCGGCCGCTTAGAGAGCTGTCAGCAGTGGGAGCAGAGCATTGATAACGACCAAGGTAGCCGGAGAACGGCTAGCTACAGGGACGGCGGCTGTAGGGAAAGCGCTAGGGAAAATAGCAGCAGGGAAGGCAGCAGCAGGGAGGAGATAAACTGGTTGGCGCAAGCTTGCGCGGAGGGTCGCTCGAAGCAGGTGGATCGACGAACAGCTAGCAGCCGTAGGTCGTTCGACGTCGCCAGATCCGCCCGAAACCCAGTCTCGGAAACGGTTTCCGTCTCCGTTACTGGCGGCGTTTCCGTTTCTGGTTTCGCGAGCCGGGACTGTTCGGCCCACTCGTCGCCCGTGCCGCTGCAGCAGCGCCGGCGAAGCCATTCCGAAGTGCCGCCGCTGCTGGTAACCGTGCCAAGATCTTCGCTAGAGAGATCCGCGCTGTCGGGCAAGAAAGGCTCCCCCGCGCTTCCGCCATCTCTCCGCCAAGGCGCTAGCTCTTCCCCCAGTCCCAGCGACCGTCAGCAGAAAGCCTTTCCCCCGCGCTCTCCGCGCAGTAACCTATCCGCGCAGGCACTCCGCACTTCCTCGCTCTCCCCCGATTCCCCGTCCGTATCCCCGCGTTCCTCCTCCGCTGCGCTATCTGCTGCGCTTGCGGCGTCCCGAAAAGCAGAAAGTTTTCGAGAAGATTTAGATTCGTCGGACGAGGAATTCTTAGCCGCTTACTGCCACATTACTGGTTCCCCCACTCCCCCCGACTGTAGCCCTGCTGCGGGGTCACCTGTAACCTCCCCCCCTTCCGCGGGTTCCGCTGTCGTCCGCGCGCTGCAGAAGAGCGCGAGCTGTTTGGAGGGGCGGGGGGAGCAGCGTCAAGCGCCAGTGCGCGCGCAAGCGGGAAGGGCGCAGGCGCTGGCGAAGTCGCAAGAAACGTTGTTGCGCAAGGGCGGAGCTAGCGGAGGAGCGAGCGGCGCAAGGGACGCGCATGCTCGGATAAGGGCGCAGGAAGCGGCGGACGTTCCGCAACGGTCTTACACGGCGCCATCGGGGGGGAGTAAGCCGGCGCCTTTTGCGGCGCCGTTTGCGGCGGTTATTGCGCATCAAAACCTGGAGCAGCAGAAGCTCCACCTGAAGAAACAGCTGCAGCAAGCGCAGCAGCTAAGGACCGCAATAGGCGGCGGATTCAGCGGTAGCAGCGGAGGAAGCAGTAGCGGATGCAGTGGCAGTGGGCTTAGTGCGTCGGAGCTTGCACGGGGATTGGAACACGAGTTTGGCGGCAAACAAGCTGGAAGGGCCGGCACCGCGCACGGGCCGCGCGGAACAGGGGGAAATGGGGGAGCCTCCTCCGCGGGGCCTCAGGTGCAACCCCCGAACGCTGCGCAAAGCAGGTCGAGAGGCATAGGGGGACACGCGGACACTCCTGCTGGCGGAGTGGTATCCGCGGGTGCGCAGAAGCTGTTCGGGCTGGGGTCGCAGTCTCACCGGATACTTCCGCACGCCGCCACTACTGGCGGAGGCCCCCGCTCGCTAGTCCGCGGGCGTTCGTGGGCGTCGCTCGAGTTTCAGCGGGCGCAAGGTCCGCCGCAGCACGCGCCGCATTTAGAGGAGCTGGCCACATGTACTAAAGGCCTCCCCACTATTGAGAGCAGTGGCAGCGGGAGCGGCAGCGGCAGCGGTCACGGCGGCAGCAACTGTAGGAGCAGGGAAAAGGGCAACGGCGGTAGTAGGACCGTTAGTTTCTCAGAGCGGCATTCCGCGCTTGTTTCCCCCGCGGATTCCCCGCGGGCGCGCGCTGGCGTCGCCGCGCCTCCGCTCTCCGCAATGGGCAGGGCAATCTCCGCGGCTGCGGGCGGCGCATCGCGGTGCTCCCCCTCGTTCACCCACGAGCGGAGCGCTCTTCCGGAGCTCCCCGGTTTGGCGAAAAGGGCGCTGCTTGCGCAGGCGCAGGAGGGGACGGGCTCAACTGGCGCGGGCGGAACCTTGGCTGGCGCAGGCGCAGGCGCACCAAGCCTGTCCCGAACCTCGTCGGCTCGGCAGCTGTACGTTCGGAAGATGCTGCTGGATCTGGCGGCGCAGAGCGACGAAGCAAGCGAAGCAGGTTCGGGTTCCGGTTCGGGACACGCGAGCCCGTGTTTCGCGTCGGGCGGGGGAAGCGGAACGGCGGGAAGCGGAACGGGCGGAAGCGGAACGGGCGGAAGCGGAAAGGGGGGTCGGAGCGTGCTTTCTAGGCGCGGGGTACTGGGGCGGTCGGCGTCAGGGAAGGAGCACGCGGGGAGGCGCGCGGGGGCAACGGCGCATGAAGGCGCGGAGGCGGCGCAAGTGCAACTCCGCGCGGTCAGGCGCTCCGCCTCCGCGCGCTACCAGCCCGCGTCGCGGCTCTCCGTCGACTTGAGCGCAGCTGCCTCTGCGGGGCTGACTGGCGGAGAGAACGGCGGAGGGGCGGGGGAGTGCGGGGAGGGGAAATCGCTGGGGCGCTCCGCTTCGGACAAGGCAATGGGGGGAGGGGATCAGGTGCGGATGGTGGGTCTGCCGTCCATCTCTGGGGCGATTTCCGGGATTTCCGGGATTTCGGGGGCTATTTCAGGGGCATCAACTTCCGGGGCGATTTCAGGGCCGGCCGCAGCTGTGGGGGGTGGTGCATCTATAGGACTAGTAGATCCATTTGCTGGTGCTTATAAAGGGGGTGCTTGTGACGAGGATGAGGATGATGCGGATCTGTTTGACATCCTCGCTGCTATGAGGAGCATGCAGACGAGCCCTCACTCTCCTAGCCCACTCTCCCCCCTCAACCCCTGCCCCCCCCGCTCCCCAGTCCCCCTCTCCCCTTCCCCTGCCAACTCCCCCCACGCCCCAACCCCCCACCACCCATATTCCCGCGACCCTTTCTCTGCTCCTCGTGCTCCCCTCGTTCCCCGCCCTTCCTCTCCCCCTCCCCCTCCCCTCCTCCGCTCCCCCTCACCCGACTCCCGCTCCCCCTCACCCCTGTCGCGCAACACACCCCAACCAAACCACCCGTCCTCCCTCTCCCTGTCTCACCCCAACATCACTCCCGCACGACCCGCCTCCCAGCTTTACTCGTCCGCCCCTGGCCATTCTTACGAATCCCCTCCTCGCTCTCCCCCTCTCTCCCCTCTCGGTTCCTCCTCTGCCTCCTCCCCTCGCTCCCCGCCGCTCACCCCGCCCCGTGGTAACCGCCGCCGCTCGCTGCACATCCCGTCTCGCTCCATGCCGTCAGCTTTGGCTCGGCCGAACCGCCGCCATTCCGTGAGCGAGGATCGGCCGCTGAACATGACGCACCCTGCCGCCCGCCAGCCTGGCAGCAGCAGTGGTGGCAGCAGTGGGGGCGGTGGTGGTGGTCCCTTTGCTGCTGGTAGTTTCCGCTGCGCATCTGCTGCTGCTGCTCGTGCGTTTGCGCAGTCGCGCAGTTTGAATTCTAGCTCGTCTGCTGCCGCGGCAGCTGCAGCTGCTGTGAAAGTGGCTGCAAGGAGGGGGCAGGCTGGCATGGGGGAAGGGAAGTTGAATGGTGGTGGGGGAGCTAAGGCTGGAGGGCATTTTGGTGGTGGTGGTGGTAGCGGCAGCGGCAACTGTAATGGTGGTGGTGATGGCAGTGGTGGTGGCAACATGGGAGACAGGGTTTTTAACAGAGCACGAACACAGCCGACTGAGCGAGCATCTGCAGGCAGAGGGAGATGATCTTTCTTGTATTGTGACTTTCTGCACTGTATGATATGTCGGGTATTTTATTTGGATGAGTGCAATTAGCTTTCATGTATCAGTCTTAGGGTATTTCTCACAGCGCGTCACAAAGGCCTAGCGTCTCAAACGACGAGATACAGTGCGGTGGAAATGCTCGATTCTCAGCTGTAATGCGGTGCAGAACAGTACATAGGTTTTGTGACGGGATTGAGACAAATGTCCATATGAGAATGCACCCTTATGGTACATTACCAGTTGTGTGGAAATCTGATTTGGGACGAGTGCAATTAGCTTTCATGTATCAGTCTTATGGTACAGCACCGGTGTGAGGAAATCTAATCTCAACAACCAGCTATCACCCTACAAATACAGTACACGTGCTTGCGTCAGCCGGCTCACGTCAATTAAGCCACGAAGCTTCGTGGCTTTGGTCTGATGTTGACTTTCGGAGGAGGCAAATTTCGCCGACCAATCGACCAGTCGTAAAGCCCGCGCGCACCGCTTCTGACATTCCACTTCTGGGGTTACGTCTCTTGCGTCGAGTGAAAAGCGGCCACGTAGGCATGTACCTCGAAACCGAACTTGCACATGGAAATATGTATGGTGGTGGTGAAACGCTCATATGGAAAAGATCGGATGGTCCAAGAAGGCTCACGCCATCCAAACCGCTGGCTCAACGCATCTTGGCCGCACATCTTACTCACCGAAATCAATCGTCTACAACTGTTTAGTGAACACATCTAGGCTGGGCTCTGGCTGGATTCCTTGAGAACTTCGCGTGGTGTGGTGGTGGTGGTGGATGTCTGGTATGGGTGGGGAAACGCAAGCTACTGAGGGAGGGGGAAAAGGGAGAGAGGTGGTGCGCTGTGGCGTGGTGCCTCGCGTGGTCTCCTCTTCACAGTATTTCTAGCTGATTCCAGCATTCTAGGAGCACCAGCGTCTACACTCTAAGGCGCAACTCTGGTTACGGATTCAGTCACTGCTGCTCGGGCATAGGAGCCTTCCAGTGTTCGTTTTCCGATTCTTGATGACTCTCTAGTAGCTCGAGCCTCTAACCACAGTGCGCTCGATCGAGGGTCCGAGCAGCCGTCGCTATTTTCGCTGCCCGCGACGTCTTGAATTGTTTTCTCGTCGCGAGGTAAATAGCTTGCTTGCGGTGGCAGTTTGAGTCGGTCTCGAACCGCGCAGCTCCGAGTAGTTCCTCCTACTCGAAGATAGGCTTAGGTTTGTCTCACTCGCAATCTGCTGCTTGCCGCGCCTGCTGCGAAGTCGCGCGATACACGGACACGCTCGGGGACTAAATCACGGTTCACCAATTGTCGTTCCCACTGCTTCTCGCTTTCACGAACAGACGGCTGTTTAGGCGTACCGGCTGTGGAACTCATCTGCTGTTCTGCGAATAGCACACATCGTTTGTTGTACACAGCTAAATTCTAGACTCAGAAATCATTTAAAAAAGCACCGTCTCTTACGCCGTCGAGCGCCGTTTCTTACCCAGGCTCGACGCACACCGTCCGCCATGGCTCGTCAGGAGCAACCCGGGGGCCGCGGGAGCGACGAGGCCGAGAGGCTGCATCCAGACGGTCCGTTTGAAGGTAACTCTTCGCGGATGTTTGCCACGTGTCGTCTGGGGCACAGTCCTTGGGATTCGCGTTTGTCAGATTCCTGCACATCTTTCACGGTTACAGAATGGAACGAAGCGCTTTTGACATTGTTTGTTCGTCTTTAGAGTCGCAAATGAAACAGATGGATTTCAATTGTTAATATTTCCTGAGCCGAATTCAGTCATCCTTGCCGCGCCACACCGGTCCTCACCTCTCTCCACTCTCAAGTTCCTCTTTTCACGGCCACTTCTCCTCTGCCTTCCGTCTCGCTCGTTAACCCCACGGCGATCCGCCACTAACCTATTTTTCTGCGCTACAGGTAATCACATCAACGGCCAAGCTAACGGCCACGTGGAGAGTCACGAAGGGAGCCGAATGCTAAACGGAGATTCTCACGTCGTGGTTGATGTTGACGGTAGCGTTAACGGTATCGGAGTGTCGACCAATGGAGCTGAAACTTCCGGGAAGCATTCCGCGAGGGAGAGAGGCGGAGGAGGCGATGGGGGAAAGGAGGGGGGAGCGGGGGAAGAGTGTGGGGGTGAAGGGGGAGGGAGAGGAGTGGGGGGGGTGTATCATCGCAAGAGCAAGGTGATGGATAAGAGCCACACGATGAGCGGATACTGCAAGAGGAACATCACCGATACAATTACAGTCAAGGTGAGACTCGATACAAGCACAGTTGGGTAGGAGCCATACGATTAGCGGATACTGCAAGAAGATCATCATAGAGTGAGACTTGATACAAGGACAGTTGGTTGAAATTTGATACAAGCACAGTCAGGGTGAGATTCAATACATGCACAGTCAAAATGAAATTTGATAGAAGCACATCTCTTCCTTCCCCCTTCAGTTCCATGACGTGCGCTACAAGGTGCAAATAGCCAAGGCGGGCTCCTGGGACCCGCGCCGCTCTTGCCTCCCCTCACTTTGTTTTCCGCCCCACACATCTTCCTCTCTCCCTCTCCCCTCCCCATTCTTCCCCACCCGCTCCCCCCCCCCCCCCCAAGTTCAAGGACGTGCGCTACAAGGTGCAAACCGCCAAGGCGGGCTCCTGGGATCCGCGCCATTCCTGCTTCCCCCCGCACATCTTCACCCCTCCCCCGCCCGTTCCTCCGCTCCTCCCCCTTCCCCCCCCCCCCCCTCCCTCCCTTCCCCCCCGCCCCCCCTTTCAGTTCAAGGACGTGCGCTACAAGGTGCAAACTGCTAAGGCAGGCTCCTGGGACCCGCGCCACTCCTGCCTCCCCACGCTCCCCGCTCTCCCCACGCTCCTCACCTCCAAGCGAGGGGGAACCGTGGGAGGAGGAGGCGCTGGGGGAGGCGCGGAAGCGGGGGCGGGGGGAAAAGCGGGCGCGGAGGTGCGGGAGAAGGAGATTCTGCACGGGATAAGCGGGAGCGTGGCGCCGGGGGAGGTGCTGGCGATGATGGGGCCGTCTGGGGGAGGCAAGACGACGTTTCTGAACGTGCTGGGGGGGCGGTTCAAGCAGGGCAACATGGCGGGGACGCTCACTTACAACGACCTGCCGTACAGCAAGGCGCTCAAGAGAAAGTAAGAGTGGGGAAGGGGGTGTGGGAATGGGGAATAGAAAGCGTTACTTGAACGTGCTGGGGGGGCGGTTCAAGCAGGGCAACATGGCGGGGACGCTGACGTATAACGACTTGCCTTATAGCAAGGCGCTCAAGAGAAAGTAAGAGTGTGGGGGAGGGGCTGTGGGAACGGGTGATAGACGATGTTTTCTAACGAGGAGGAGGAGGAGGTGGTTAAAGCAAGCAGGGAAACATGGTGGGGAAGCTGACTTGCTGCTTCTTGACGAGGGCAGAGGGCCTCGCTAACAACTTGCCTTTTGAGGCCCTCTGCCCTCGTCCGCCTCTCTCTCTGTCTCTGTCCCTGTCTCGCCCTTGTGTTACCCTCCTTCGGGCTGGGCTTCGTGACTCGGGACGCATATTCTTCCCACGCGTGACCTTCCGCGAGACACTCATGTACGTGGCTGTACTGCGCCTCCCCAAGGAGCTCATCTCCCTCACTCCCTCTCCCTCTCTCTCTCCCTCTCCCTGGTTCCCCCCTCTGCTCCTCTCGTGTCCTTCCTGTTTCCCCCGCCTGCCAAACCCCCAGGCTGGGCTTCGTGACTCAGGACGATATATTCTTCCCACACCTCACTGTGCGCGAGACCCTCATGTACGCTGCTGTGCTGCGGCTGCCCAAGGAGCTGAGCTGGGCGGAGAAGGTGCAGCGCGCCGATGAGACCATCACTGAACTGGGGCTAGATAAGTGAGTGTGGTTATGCGGTTGGGATGGGTAAGAGGCGGATGGGAGCCAGGGTTTCACGGGGGCTCTGAAAGAGCTGAGCTGGGCGGAGAAGGTGCAGCGCGCCGATGAGACCATCACAGAGCTGGGGCTTGATAAGTGAGTATGGCATCACAATCAGGCCCCAGTGTTTTGCTGTGTTGCTGGCATGCGTGCATATGCCAGTGTGTTGCTGTGTTGCTGGCATGCGTGCATATGCCAGTGTGTTGCTGTGCTGCTTGCTACGCATGTATGCTGCTGTACTGCGAATACCCAAGGAGCTGAGCTGGGCAGAAAAGGTGCAACGTGCGGACGAGACCATCACAGAGCTGGGTGTGGACAAGTGAGTGAAAAGGGGAAAGCAGGGAAATAGTGGGTTACTGGAGGGCATTGGGGGTGCGAATGTGTTGTGTGGTATATCCGGAGGGGAGCGCAAGAGAGTGAGCATCGGGCATGAGATCCTCGTCAACCCCTCCATGCTGCTGCTGTGCCCCACATCAGAACCTCTGAACCGCTCTGAACTTCTCCGAGTGAGTATCGGGCATGAGATCCTCATCAACCCCTCCATGCTGCTGCTCGACGATCCCATCTCCCGCCCACACTAGAGCCTCTGAACCGCTCTGAACCACCCCGTAACGCTCTTAAAACGCCGTAAACCGCTCTGAACCGTTTTTAACCTCCTGATTCCTTTGCTCCCCCTCAGGTGCCGTAACACGGTTATTGGAGGGCCATTCCTGCGCGGCATATCCGGGGGAGAGCGCAAGCGAGTGAGCATAGGCCACGAAATCCTCATCAACCCCTCCATGCTGCTACTGGATGAACCCACCTCTGGCCTCGACTCCACCACCGCTCTCCGGATCATTCAAGTCATTCAGAACCTCGCCAAATCGGGCCGAACCGTGGTTACCACCATCCACCAACCGTCATCGAGATTGTTCCACGCATTCGATAAGCTGCTGCTCTTATCGGAGGGCAATGCTATTTTTTTCGGGCAGGCTGCAGACGCGATGGGGTATTTTGGAAGGTTGGGGTTTGAGCCGCTGTTTGCGATGAACCCGGCAGATTTTCTGCTGGATCTGGCTACGGGGACGACGGCGGATGTGCAGTTGCCGAGTGTGTTTGGGCAGAGCGAGGAGTGGCAGGGGAAGAGCGTTCCAGAGCAACAACACGACGTGAAAGAGGTGCGTTGGGTGTCACTTTCTTGTTCTCCCTTCACCGCACTTCCCCTTCATCTCATGATTGTATAACAATTTTGCAAAGCCTGACCCGATTCCAAATCCTCATCCCCACTGTCCATCCCCATCCCCACTGTCCATCCCCATCCCCACTGTCCATCCTCATCCCCACTGTCCATCCCCATCCCCACTGTCCATCCTCATCCCCACTGTCCATCCTCATCCCCACTGTCCATCCCCACCCCCACTGTCCATCCCCACTGTCCATCCCCATCCCCACTGTCCATCCCCACTGTCCATCCCCATCCCCACTGTCCATCCCCACGCCGTCAGTTAGTGGCTCGAGCTCACAGGGAGCAGCAGCAGCCGCTGGCACACGCAGAGCCTTGAAGCACCTGTGGTTGTCCCCAATCCCCATTCCTCATTCCCACTCTCCTCCCCCCACGCACTGTCACTTCCAGTTCGTGGCTCAAGCTCACAGGGAGCAGCAGCAGCCGCTGGTGCATGCTGAGCTGGCGGGGCTGCCTGCCAGCTCAGATGCCGACCAGAAGAGCGTGCTGCAGCGGCGCGGGTGGACGGCGCCGTGGCTGCTGCAGTTCTCGGTGCTGTGGACACGTGGTTTGAAAGAGAGAAGACATGAAGTTTTATCCCCGCTCAGGTTCTATCAGGTGAGGGCTTTGGGGTAATGCTGTGGAGGGGAGGGAGGGGAGAGGGAAGGGGAGAGGGGGAGGGGGGGGGGGGGGAGGGGGGGGGAGAGGGGGGACAGCGCCGTGGCTGCTGCAGTTCTCAGTGCTGTGGACACGTGGTTTGAAGGAGAGACGGCACGAAGTGCTGTCTCCTCTCCGGTTCTACCAGGTCAATAGTTTGCTTGGGTTGAATGAGTGTGGTTGAGTGGATGAAAATGAGGGTGGCTGGGGGGGTGGACGGCGCCGTGGCTGCTGCAGTTCTCGGTGCTGTGGACACGTGGGCTGAAGGAGAGAAGGCACGAAGTATTATCGCCACTTAGGTTCTATCAGGTGAGTGTGCATCAACAAGCTCACCTTCCACGCAAGGGACTCCTGGTTAATGCTACAGCAGCGGGGGAGGATGGTGTCATGGCTGCTGGGCAGTTCTCGGTGCTGGGAACGCAGGCCTTAAGGAAAGGCGGCATCAAGTGCTGTCTCCTCTCCAGTTCTACCAGGTTGCTGTGGGATGGGGAGTAGTGTGCTTGGTATGGGTCGGTTTGAGTGGGTGAAAGGGGTGGTAGTGGTTGCTGGGTCGGTGTCATGGCTGCTGCAGTTCTCGGTGCTGTGGACACGTGGGCTCAAGGAGAGGCGGCATGAAGTGCTATCACCTGTGCGGTTCTACCAGGCGAGTTCTTGAGGAAAGGTGGTAGATGTCTGAAAAGGTGGCGGCTGGGACGGACGGTGCAGCCACCTTTTCGAACATCTACCACCTTTCCTCAATAGCTCACATGGTAGTGGTAGTGGTGGCTGGGTCGGTGCCGTGGCTGCTGCAGTTGTCAATGCTGTGGTTGAGGTCGTTCGACCTTTAGTGTGCTGCTCTCCCCAGCCGGTGTGTTCATCTGTGCTCCTCCCTCCTTCTGCCCTGACCATGTCCCCCCCTCCGCTCCTCCTCTTCACCCCCCCAGGTGACGGCGCTGGGCTTCATCTGTGGAATGCTGTGGTTTGGCTCGCAGCGCAACACTGCCACGGAGATTCAGGACCAGGTGAGAAGCTACATGCAGGATCAGGCGAAAACTCAGAGGAAGGATTAGGTCCAGAATCATGTGGAAATTCAGATGCAGATAATCTCTGACTGCTCGTCTTCATCTTCGTCTTCTATGCAGCTTGCCTCTCTTTGCTGCCTGCCTTTTCTCCTCCATTTGTTCCTTGCGGTCAATCCCCCTTGCGCTCCCACTCCCCTTCACCATTACCAGGCGAGGCAGCTATTTTTCCATCTCCATCTTCTGGGGCTCTTTCCCTCTCTTCGCTTCCATTTTTATGCCAATCTTGTCCCCTGCCTCTCTCTACCACACCTCATTCTCTTCCCTACACCAGGTGGGCTTGCTTTTCGTCATCTGCGTCTTCTGCCATTCTTCCCTCCCTTTGCCACTTGGTCTCCCCACTTCATTTTCCATTCCAACCCCCCTTGTGCCCCCAACTCTTCTTCCCTACATCAGGTCGGCCTGCTATTCTTCATCTCCATCTTCTGGGGATTCTTCCCTCTCTTCGCCGCCATTTTCACATTCCCCCAGGTTAGCTTTCCACTTGAAGTACCAAAATGAGTCATTTTTTAAGCGCCTCAAAAATCTTCCATTTGAAGTACCAAAATGAGTGTCAAGTAAGCATCAAGATCATCCAAGTTTTTTCTCCCTTTTTTTGCAATTACATGTAGGTAAGTGCATTCGTTAAAAGGTAGAAGTAACGCTCGAAAAGTTGCAATGCCACTCAGCGCAACACTCTCCTCTTGGCTTCTTACATCCCACTGAGTACCCAGGCGCTTGATAGCACCCATGCCTGCCTTTCTTTCTTCGTATCTCTCTCGCGTGCCCCATCCCACCGCACTCCACCTTTCACCGCGCCCTACCCACCAGGAGCGCGCTATTCTAGCCAAGGAGAGGGCGAGCGACATGTACCGCCTGTCAGCCTACTACCTCACTGTCTCACTGTGTTGTACCCCTATTGCACCCCATTCCACCACACTGCACCGCAGGAGCGCGCCATTCTGGCCAAGGAGAGGGCGAGCGACATGTACCGCCTGTCAGCCTACTACCTCAGCCGCCAGCTCTCTGACCTCCCCATGGAGTGGCTGCTCCCCACGCTCTTCCTCCTCATCTGCTACTTCATGGCCTCGCTGAAACTCACTGCAGGGGCGTTCTTTGGACTGCTTTTTTCAACCTACCTCATCGTCACTACCGCTCAGGTGTGTGCTCCTCTGTCTCCCTCGTTCAAGTCTTCCCTTGGAGTGGCTGCTCCCCACGCTCTTCCTCCTTGTCTGCTTCTTTTGGGAATTCTCTAAAATACCTGGCTTCCCTCAAGCTCACTGCTGCTGCGTTCTTCAGACTGCGTTCTTCTCCACCTACCTCGTCGTGACTTTTGAGTCAACTCAAAAGTCAACTGCTCTTCTCCACCTACCTCGCCGTCACCACGGCTCAGTCCTCCTCCTGACCTTCATGCTCTTCTGATTGCTCTCCTATCTCCCTCTCACCTCATGCTTCCCTCTACCACTCACAGGGCTGCGGGCTCTTTTTAGGAGCAGCAGTGATGGACGTAAAAGTGGCCACCACGCTTGCTTCAGTCCTCCTGCTGACCTTCATGCTGGCAGGAGGATACTACCTGCAAACCATCCCCGCCTTCATCGCATGGATCAAATACATCTCCTTCACCTACTATGCATACCGCCTCATCATCAAAACCCAGTTCTCGCCCTCCGATACTTACCAATGCGGCCCGTCGAGCGACCCCAGTTCGGTTATCTGCCCGATAGAGAATGCGCCGTCGTTTCGGGGGTTTTTGCTGGGAGACGCGTGGGTGGATGTGGTGGCGTTGCTGGTTCAAGTGGCGTTTTACCGTGGACTAGGGTACTTGGCTCTAAGGAGGATGAAGACGAATGTGTAGCACGCAGCTGTAACACCCTAGTCTTGCAGGTGTTCATTCATGTACGCAGGTGTTCATTCATGTACGCATGTGTATAGGGCTCTAAGGGTGGATGCAGGCCCCAAAACCAATCCGAGGGCGTGGGTGGACGTGGTGGTGCTGCTGGTTCAGGTGGTGTTTTACCGCAGGCTGGGTTACTTTGCCCAGAGGAGGATGAAGACGAATGCTTAGATGGATGATGGTGCTATGATTTCGGTACCGTACTTGCCTTTTTTTCCCAGCTAGGCATTTTTTTTTTTCTACAAGCCTGCTGGACTGCTCTGGGTACCCATTGTAAATGATTTTTTGAAGTGGAAAAAACTTTTCTGGAAGAGGTTCTTGTGCAAGCACAGCTGAGCTGCCTATAATGCAGCAAGGGAACAGGCCTCCCCCCTTCTGAGAGAACTTGGCTGCGACTGCGTTATTCAGTCAAAGTGCACCAATATAATTTTTCTAAAATAAAAATTCAGCCATTAATATTGGGCAAGCAAGAGTCTATAAAACACTATTACTGTAGCAAACAAAAGACTGTACTGGTAAAACCATCAGTTTACTGTACCCTGCTTAAGAGCATTCACCATCGTCGTCACTATCACCATCGTCGTCACTATCGCTATCGTCGTCTCCATCCATATCACCCACAGCATCCTCCTCATGATCCCCTTGGTGCACCCCTCCCGCATCCCAATCATAATCATCCTCCTAACATCATTCACCATCCTCAGTACCACTATCGTCGTCTTCATCCAAATCACCCCCTGCATCCTCCTCCTCCTCATCATCATCTTCATCATCATCCTCCTCCCCTCCCCCATCATCACGTTATTGTGCCTGCTTAAGAGCATTCACCATCGTCACTATCACTAACATCGTCTTCATCCACAGCATCCTCCTCCTCCTCCTCCTCCTCCTCCTCCTCCTCCTCCTCCTCCTCCTCCTCCTCATCATCATCACCCTCCTCCTCCCCTCCCCCATCATCATCCTCCTCATCCAGCTCCCCAATGGCAATCCTCTCAGGGTCAAACGGCATGGGCGCCTGTAGGCAGGTAGGCAAGAAGGGGAGAGGCATGGGGCACAGGCCATGAGTCATTATCATTGTCCTCCTCCCCTTCCCCCATTCTCCTCCTCATCCTCCTCATCATCATCCTCCCCAATGGCAATCCTCTCAGGGTCAAACGGCATGGGCGCCTGTTGGTGTGGGGGGTGGGGGGGAAAGATGCAGCAGCAGGCAATGAAGGCAAAGGTATGGGGCGCAGTGGATGTGACATCTTCCCAATCCTCCTCCTCCTCCTCATCATCCTCATCTTCATCACCCTCCTCCTCCCCTCTCCCATCATCATCCTCATCATCAAGCTCCCCAATGGCAATCCTCTCAGGGTCAAACGGCATGGGCGCCTGTTGGTGTGGGGGGTGGGGGGGAAGATGCAGCAGCAGGCAATGAAGGCAAAGGTATGGGGCGCAGTGGATGTGACATCTTCCCAATCCTCCTCGTCCTCCTCATCATCCTCATCTTCATCACCCTCCTCCTCCCCTCTCCCATCATCATCCTCATCATCAAGCTCCCCAATGGCAATCCTCTCAGGGTCAAACGGCATGGGCGCCTGTTGGTGTGGGGGGTGGGGGGGAAAGATGCAGCAGCAGGCAATGAAGGCAAAGGTATGGGGCGCAGTGGATGTGACATCTTCCCAATCCTCCTCCTCCTCCTCATCATCCTCATCTTCATCACCCTCCTCCTCCCCTCTCCCATCATCATCCTCATCATCAAGCTCCCCAATGGCAATCCTCTCAGGGTCAAACGGCATGGGCGCCTGTTGGTGTGGGGGGTGGGGGGGAAAGATGCAGCAGCAGGCAATGAAGGCAAAGGTATGGGGCACAGTGGATGTGACATCTTCCCAATCCTCCTCCTCCTCCTCATCAAACTCCCCAATGGCAATATCCCACCAATCACCTCGTCGCCCTTGTCCCACCCACCCCTTGACTCGAGCTTCCACTGCCCAGGTGGAAGCTATCAGCATGGCACTGTAGCGTGTACCTATCATCCCAGCTGTTACCACAGTGAAAGAGAGATCACGGCTACACCTTGTCGGTTAGACCTTGTCAGTTCCACACCACTCACCTCGTCCCACCCCTTGACTTGAGCTTCCACTGGCCCAGCTCAAAGCCATCACCGCGAGATTAAAGCACTCTACCACAGTGAGTGGGGGGTTATTATTATCAACTCAGTCCTTATCACTCCTCCGCACCTCGTCGCCCTTGTCCCACCCCTTGAGCTTCGACTGCCCCAGCTGAAAGCAGTCAGCCAACAGGGACCACGTCGGCTCCTCTGCTGGGACTTGGGACTTCACTCCTTGCATATCAACCACCACCGCATCACACCGCTCTATCATTCCTCACCTCATCGCCCTTGTCCCACCCCTTGAGCTTCGACTGGCCCAGCTCAAAGCTATCGGCCAATAGGGACCACGTCGGCTCCTCTGCTGGCGTTGCTGCTACCGCTGCAGCTTCTGGCTTGGCCTGTGCGGAAGATTTGAGAGAAGGGGAGGACGGAGGACAGGAAAAGGTTCCAGTTAGGGCCTTCACGAGGGGAGGACAGGAAAAGGTTCCAGTTAGGGCCTTCATGAGGGGAGGACAGGAAAAGGTTCCAGTTAGGGCCTTCATGAGGGGAGGACAGGAAAAGGTTCCAGTTAGGGCCTTCATGAGGGGAGGACAGGAAAAGGTTCCAGTTAGGGCAATGAAAGAGGATGGAGAGGACTCCATGAGTTAGAAAGGCCGATGAGGAATCTGCACTTTCTTCTGCACAGCTGTGCTTCTCTGCAACAGGCAGGCACAAGGCGAAAGGGTTACCTTGCACAAGGCGAAAGGGTTACCTTGCACAAGGCGAAAGGGTTACCTTGCACGAGGCGAAAGAGTTACCTTGCACGAGGCGAAAGGGTTACCTTGCACAAGGCGAAAGGGTTACCTTGCACGAGGCGAAAGGGTTACCTTGCACAAGGCGAAAGGGTTACCTTGCACGAGGCGAAAGGGTTACCTTGCACAAGGCGAAAGGGTTACCTTGCACAAGGCGAAAGGGTTACCTTGCACGAGGCGAAAGGGTTACCTTGCACAAGGCGAAAGGGTTACCTTGCACGAGGCGAAAGGGTTACCTTGCACAAGGCGAAAGGGTTACCTTGCACGAGGCGAAAGGGTTACCTTGCACGAGGCGAAAGGGTTACCTTGCACAAGGCGAAAGGGCTACCTTGCACGAGGCGAAAGGGTTACCTTGCACGAGGCGTGAAACGGGTCAAAGGAGAAAGGACAGACGATAAGCCATTACCTTGCCTCCTTGCCTTGCCACAGCATCACCACCAATGCCACCAATGGCACCTGTTGCTATTCCATGCAAAAACCGCATCAGTCTTCTCTTAGGCACACGGCAAGTGCTCACCTTGCCACACGACAAGAGCTCACCTTGCCACACGACAAGAGCTCACCTTGCCACCTTGCCTCGCAGCAGGGCACTACCGATGCCACCGATGCCACCAATGGCTACCAGGTGTTGCCGTTGAGCCTCTTCATCCCGTGAGAAATGCAGCCTTGGCTTTGCATCCGGTCACAAGACACAAGACACAGGACAAACCACTCACCTTGCCTCCTTGCCTTGACGCGGCACCGCCGATGCCACCAATGCCAGGTGTTGCCGTTGAGCCTCTTAGCTGCCTTGATATTCTTATCCGCTCACAAGACATGAGACAGACCACTTACATTGCCGCTTTGCCTTGCAGCAGCACCACCGATGCCGCCAATACCGGCTGTTGTTGTAGATCCTCGTAGTTCCGTGAGGAAAGCTGCCTTGGTCTTCTTCTCTGCGTCTGAAAGGAAGTGCAGCAGAAATAAGAGAAGAAGAGCGCCCCTTGGAATGTCTAATGAATGAACTTGTTACATTTTTACCTGTGCTCGTGCG